AGCAGCGGATCCCGACGCTCAACGAGTACTGCGTGGTGTGCGACGAGCAGCACGTCTTCCAGAACGGCTCCATGCTCAAGGTGCGAGGACAGGGACCGGGCGGGCGCGGGCTGTCACCCTGTGTCACCGTCCCTGACCCTCCCCACGGTTCTTGTCCCCTCCGCAGCCGGCGGTGTGCACCCGGGAGCTCTGTGTCTTCTCCTTCTACACCTTGGGCGTCATGTCCGGTGCGGCGGAGGAGGTGGCCACAGGTGGGGGTGCGCGCGGTGGGTGACCACATCGTCACCTCGGGGTGCTGTCCCTTCACCCCACGCACGCTCTGTCCCCAAGGTGGTGGACCTGCTGGTGGCCATGTGCCGCGCCGCCCTGGAGTCCCCCCGCAAAAGCATCATCTTCGAGCCTTACCCTTCCGTGGTGGACCCCAACGACCCCAAAACACTTGCCTTCAACCCCAAGGTAAGCGCCGTGGGGGCAGCGCTCCCCCATGCCGGGGATCGATGGGGCTGGGGGGAGCCCTGAGGACCCCTCCAACAGCCAACCCTCTCCTGCCCCATGCGTAGAAGAACAACTCACACCGGATGGGACAGCGTGATGTCCATCCGGGAGATGACCCAGGTACACTGACATGGACCCGCACTGCCCATGGCTCCGTGTGAGACCCCCCCAGTGCAGGATCTCCATCCGCCCACGGTTGGGTGGGTGCCAGGGGACCCACCTGCACCCCCTCTCGCCTCTGCCAGGGGTCCTACCTGGAGATCAAGAAGCAGATGGACAAGCTGGACCCCCTGGCCCATCCCCTCCTGCAGTGGTAAGGCTGAGGGTCCTGCGGCCCCGTCCCACTGCCCCACGTCCCCCAGGACAGAGGATGGGGTGGGGGGCAGCCGGGCAGCCGTGGCACGACCCCCTCGGCCCCTTTCTCCTGGGGGGTCCCGACCACCCACCGGCCTTGGGGTGGATTCTGGCATGGCTCCCGGCTCGGGCCCCCCCCCCCGGGGGGGGGGGGCC